CAAGCTTCACAGGATGCTCCTCGTCAACTGCTCATTGTTGTTGGACAGTATTTTATTTAGTGTAACATTATTAAACAACACATGCCTGTGATACATCAAACCAGTTATAAAGGCAGCCCATTCTAAATTTACTACTGCTACTTTGCTGTAGCTCACATTAAAACAGTCCGTTTAGCTCACACGGTCTACATCTCCTAATGGCTTTTTTTTTTGCTTTGTACATGTAGGCTTCCAGTTAAGACTTTGTGTTGGTGTGAATGGGTTCCTGTCATTTAAGTTTGCCATAAACTTGTTAGTTTTGTGATCACACTCAATAAGTTAAGAACAGAAATCTGTAAATATTCAGAGGTCTACCTTAAAACACATGGATTTCCTCTATCTATCTATCTATCTATCTATCTATCTATCTATCTATCTATCTATCTATCTATCTATCTATCTATCTATCTATCTATCTATCTATCTATCTATCACTCAAGGTGTATCTTTGGCAAAGAGATAAAATTACACATGTGATCCAAATATACAGTATACTTTTTAATTTGCATTATTTTTAATAATTTTTTAAGTAAATATTCAGTTTTCTGCATGACTGAAGTCCATGAGGGCCCAGTTTGCACGTCGGCAATATGTGGATTAGGCGAAACATGGCTTCAAAATTACCCAGGATTTGTTGTTAGATAAAGACATTGAGGCTGGGCTTGGCGTGAGCTCCAATTGCACCCAGTGTATAGCTGGTTGTATGCTCAGCAGGAGGTGGAGAGCTTCTTTGAAGGAAAAACAGGAAGTCATTCTGTCCTTTTGTTTCCTTTTTGCACTTGATGTCCCAAACTCTAGTGGACACCTTTTGTTACTTTATTACCTAGCTGTGTGTGTGTGTGCCTGTGTGTGCGCGCATTGAAGTAATGATGCAAAATGCTTCTAGTAGCTCAGCTCACGTCCTTTAGCTTCATTGTTGTAGTTTTTCAGTATTTTACTGGGTTTTTTTCGAAACCCTCAAACTTCTCTTTCTCTCGCTCTCTCTCTCGCTCTCTCTCTCTCTCTCTCTCTCTCTCTCGCTCTCGCTCTCTCTCGCTCTCATACACACACATACACAGTTATGACAGATATAATAAGGACAGTTTGGGTACATGAGTTTTGGGTGTGTTTTGGGGGTCTATAACTGTGTGTATGTGGGCCCAGTTTGTTCTTTGTTTTGGGTGGGTCAGTGTTTATTGTTGGGCCTGCCGCTCTTTGTCACAGGGGGCTCAGATTGCAGGCTTCATTTCAGGCTGAGCAGGAATGTCCTCCTCACTATTCTGGTCCTGACTGACGGACTGACACTGCTGCTGTTCTGGCCTTTTGCCAAACGCCTTTTTTATCAAAATCATGTATTCTTATAACACTAACTGAAATATCTGATTGCGCAGAGTGCAGAAAAATGAAATGTCATTGAGTACAAGAAAGTTTACCTCATCTCATCAGCCTCACATCTGAGAGAGGATAGGCACATTTGTTTTAAGATCCACAGGGGTGATTGGCTCTCGAGCTTATACCTGCTAGGCATATAGGAAAAACAACACATATCTGTATTCTGTAATGTCTTCCATTCAAACATATTTTAGCCAATGAGGAATGTTGGCATTTTAAGAGGAGAGTTGTTTCTCTCTCTCTCTCTCTCTCTCTCTCTCTCTCTCTCTCTCTCTCTCTCTCTCTCTCTCTCTCTCACACACTCATACACACACACAGACGAGCTGTGTGCAGAATCACTCTCTGAGAGAAAATGAAAATCAGGAGACAGATACTCTTATGTCCCTGGAGTTTCTCACTGTGCTCCCTTTATTTCCTCATATGAGTGAGGTCATGCTTGATTGGAGAGTTTCCAGGCATGCGATAGATAATCATGCCGTTTAACTACTTGTTTTGTAACACATGGTTGGTATGGGAGTGGCTGCAATGTTTGCAGGTAGTTTCAAAGGTATGAGGATGTAAAGCCCCTCACAGTCAAAGGGTTTAGTTATACAAGAGATTGTGTCTCTTCCCTGCCCCCCCTTAGTTTTGACCAGCTGAACAAGTGAATTCATTTTGAAAGTTTGTTTACTGACAAGTTAAAGGAAGCACAGTCAACACGAAACACTGAAATATTGTCCATAAAAAAGTATAGCCACATGTAATTACACATGAAGTGTACAAGTGCCCCGAGCTACATCAGATGTTGATTTGAGTATCTCATGAGCCTCTCAACAGTCGGGTTTACAGTCGAATGAGCATTACCAATCTCAAAACTTTCGGTGAGCTGTGTGACAGTGTTAACCACTTTCCCACAGAGCCACTGACTGCAGCTGCAAATCAGAGCCAGTATTTCAATGTCACAACAAAATTTTTTTTTTTTTGTTTTTTTTCCAAATCAACAATGTGGCTGATTGTTAAAAACAGAAAAGATTAAAATGTTCATGTTGTTTAAAATGAGCGTTGTACGATCCAGTCACAGCTCTACAATGAAATAAGGCTTTAGCCATTTGAAATAGTTAAAAAATAAAAACATAGAAAAACAATATGTGGCATTGTGATATTGTGGCAGGCCGCCAATAAAAAAAGACCAATTAGACTGTGGCAGAGGACTTCAGACATCCTTCAATGTGGCCCAGGACACATCTGAAATCACATGCTAAAAGAATCAGGCTACATTTGGCCTAGACCAACTCTGAATGTTGTCTGAGCGATTGGATCTCAGTTCTTAAATGCGTCCTCAATGCGTTTTGGGTGCGTTCACACCTGAACTTAGAGCAGTCTACTTGTGATCGGATCACATGTGACACATGTTAATGCCAGGTCTGAGCGGGGCCTCTGGGTGCTCCTCCAAATCAGACCTGACTAGCAGCAGCAACCTACAGCTTCACTCCCTGCTGCTTCAGTGATGATTTCACACAACTCAGCATTAGACACATGTTGCTTATTAGCATTAATATTTTATTTTGTTTGCAATCCCAGTGTTTTGTTATCGGCACTGCACTGAAAGCTTAGACTCACTGAGACTTTCTGTATTAAAATAAAAAGGCATCAAACAAGTTAAGCTAATAAACTATATCAAAGGCAAAGAACTAGAATTGCTACCAATATCAGATTTTTTCTGAATGATATCCAGCAGCTCTGTGAACTGTGTCTCTGCTCTGCTCTCCTCCCCTCCCCCTCCCTGTTCCCCTTCCTCCTCCCCCTCTTTATTCTACTCAATCTGCCTTGACTCCTCCTCCACCTCCTGCGGTCCATATTCATTTGAATCAAGCTCACATCTCTTGGGTCTGAATTACATTTAAGTTCTAGGAGTTAAATGTGCAGTGTGTTTGTAGCTGTGTGTCAGTAAACAAGGACAGAGTCTGCAGGAATGAACTAAGTTTAAGATAAATGAAAGTGAAGGGTTTAAAAATAACTTAAACATTAGAAAAATATGCTTAATAACATTCACATGTTGCCTTTTCACCACGGTTTCTGTGAACTCTTGATTTGTTGTATTGGTGTTAGAAAAAAGCCGATTTTATTATTAAACTGTTTGGACAGCTGACAGAAAGAGAACGCTTTTCTCTCTTTCGCTGTGTTAAATTATTCAGCTGCAGTATTAGCTCAGTAGCAGGACTGCGTTTAGGACTAATGTGATCAGTGGTCTGTGGTGGGGGATCACACACACACACACACACACACACACACACACACACACACCAGCTGTGGACAGAGCAGGTAGCAGGCCTCTAACTGCTGCCTGTTTGTGGCTGTGATTATTGTGAGCTAAACTTAGGAATAATAAAACTAAACCTGAATGGAGGCATCATGATTTTTTTCTCTCTTAAGGAGCTGAAACATTTTTCAAATCCAAGTTTGTTTGTTTTTCAGTGAAATCTGTCGTTTCTCTTTAGCCTGCCCTTGGAGAACAGCAGTATTTGAAAAATAAATCTTTAAGTCACACATGATTGTGTTATGAAGAATTTGTGTTTAGAGCTTTGTGATTATTGGATTTCATGAAGGGCTTGACAGGCTTATCTGTGGCAGTGGGATGATGGTGCTAAAGGTCAGTGGTTTTGGAGCAGCTTGTACCAAAACACTGAGGACTCTTCCAGTGTGTGGGCCAGGGCCATATGACAGGTCCCTTGATATTAAAATGTGGCTAGAAAAATCCTAAGTACACAAAAGTTATTATATATTGGAGTGTAATATTGTAACTGCTGTTTTGAAATGGAAAAAACTAACAGATGTCGATGACAAACTCAAGAAGGATTCATTTCTGTTGCCATGATGAAAGCTTATCCAATTGCTATGATGAGAAAACACAAAACACCAGAGGGCCTTCTTTACTGTGATTATGAATACGATGGTAAAGTACTGACGCTTATGAAGGCACATGTGTAGTGTCTGACGAATGTCTCTCAAAGTAGTTTTAGCACTGTCAAAGAAAGCAAGAAAAGAAATGGTAGCAATGAAAGGTGACATGCTCAGTTGCTTCATGGTTTCTATAAATAGTGACAGAGCAACAAAGAGAGGACTGATTAGTTATGTGCACAGTGAAGAGAGGTCTTTGACCAGTCACAGTTTACATTTATTGTTAGCAGTCATTTGATAACATTTTTTCAGGAATGTTCTGACCTCTGTGAGAGTGGTGTCATGTGCACACGGTCTTCTTTTCTCAGCTAAGCTATGGAAAGCTTCTGGTAGCCAGCGGCAAACATACATGGTGTGAGTAGGAACCAGGACGACAGGGAAAAAGAGACCTGATAAACAGAATATGTAAATAAGGAGGATGAGTGGCCACATTTCCAGGAAAGGGAAGTGATGACGCAGTGGAACGGGCTGAGGGGAGGACACAAACAGGATGTGTTCTGCTGTGGCTTCCTGTGCAATTTTAGAAATCAGTTTTTTCCCATGAATTTCTGTGAAAGCAAAAAAAAAACCTAAAAGAGCTCGTGCTTTTTTCATCCAGACATTCAGAGAGTACAGCAGTTCCTGAACTTTGTATTTTCTCTTTCTGTTTTCAGGAGATGTTAAGACATTGACGTGACACTGTACCCTGAATGGAGCTTGACTGGGGATTGTACTGGCCAAGGTGAGCATGTGGTATATGTACAAAAACGCACACTTAAATACACACACTCTCCAGGTGGTCGATCCATACCGGCCAAAGGTTCAGATCATTTTATTTTTGACCATGAGATGTTATATTTCGCACATTGGTGGCTGCTGTTTGCAAACCTGATGGTTTGTGCAACATTTCATCTTGTCCCTGAGCAAGTTTCACATCATCAAATGAGTCTGATTCAGGTTAGTGGCATGCTGCCAGGCCTGTTTAGACTCATCTGTGGTTTTGGTGGGCTGCTGCTCACAATCTCACTCTGCACTAAAGGTTTGAAAACTGCCGACACAAGTAGACAACACCTATAGAGCAAAGTGTTAAAATGAGTGAACAGCAAATGGTGTTGTCTGAATTCCAGGAGAACATAGTTGTTTTGCTACAGCGTTTGTAACAAGGAGGCTTTTTATTAAGAAAATCGTATTTCAGTGATGAAACCCTTTTACATTTACTCTGGTTTTCAGCATTGCCTCCCCGTTGCTGGAGTAGAAATCGTACTACTCTGCTGTGCATTCCCTGTGTTCAGAAAGACTCCCAGCAGCCCCCAGCTCTGCTGTTTGTCCGTTTCAGGATGTGAGGCTGACTGAGGGCTGATGTCATCTTTCTACACTGCTGCAGAGGTGAGCCTTAGGACAGAAAGCAGGAAGGAAGGAAGCAAGAAAGAGAGAAGAAACGGGGGGGGGGTCACAGCCAGAGCAGGACAGGCAGATTTTGAAAGGGGTGCTGAAAAGTAGACAGACAAGAAGCATGCGGTTCAGATTTATGGCGCAGAGTGTGTGTCTGAGACTTGGTGCTCTTCTAGTAATAGTGGCGGTGGTGGGTGACTGGACTGCATGTCCTAGCCTGCTGTTGTGGAGCAGGAGTTGCATAATGGGTCTCATCCGTTCTACAGTTTTCCACTCTGGAATGAGCTCACTCTGTGTTTAAGAGTGCTCGCGTGTGCACATACACACATGCAGACACAAAGTCCAGGATAGACTTGTAGTAGAACAATCTGGTGGAAAACGCTACAGCTTTGTGTTTGTTTCTGGGTGGGAATAGGAAAGAGCTGTGACCTTAGAGGCTGGCTGCAGAGGTTTCCTCTAACATGAACTCTGATGGGGTCAGACACAGGGCAATGCCAGAGCAAGGAAATAAGGGCAGGGTCCCCAGCCCAGTACTACTACACCCAGGGTGGGAGGGAGAGAAGGGAGGGGTAGTCTGAGGATGGTATGGGGGGGGGGAATAACAGTTAAAACCTATTGGAAGAAAGAGCGGATGTAGGCGAGTATGGAGAATGCGGAAGAGGGATCATTCTTACTATTCCCTGGAATACACAGTGGAGCCTCGGCTGGACTGTTTTAGGCTACACAAGCCTGACCAGTGTGTATTTTCTGCTCATGCAGTCCCAGGTAGTTCAACAAAGAGGCAGTCTGGTGAATATGTGCCTTCTTGGGACAGTACCTACTAACACCCATCTCTCTCACAGACTGTGCCTTGACATGCCTGAGCATGTAAGTGTACTGAAAACAGTTTGTATATGCAGTGTGTACTTGTGTTGCCGCTGCTAGCAGAGTGGTATCATTCTAGTGGGCAGGCTGGCTGAACGCAGGATGACCCATCTCCCCTGAGGCTCCAAATCACTACATCATCATCAGTCGCTCCTCGCAGTGGAACAGATGAGATTTCACTCCCATCGAGCACTAAGAAGGAACCAAGGCTGCTTTACTAACTGGATAGTCTACACTCATAAATCTGTAGGAATCTACACTCTACTCTTCCCCTGGAAGTCACTTCATTTATAACCTCAATAGCTTGGGGAGTTTGTTTGATTTTTTCCCCCCCTTAACTTGACACTAAGCTTTCAAGGTTTGCCTGAATTTAGAGTAATTTCAGAGTGGACTTCAAAAACTGTCAGATGAGGGCATGAACCAATTTGCGCTTATCTTTTCATGAGATTTTACCACACACATGTGAGCATATAAAACCACACTCAGTCCATTCCCTCTGATCATGTTCCACTGCCTGTGTGTGTGTGTATGTACATATGACGTGCGGCTGTGTACTTTCAGGTGCTGATGTGTGCTGAAGATGAGTGGCGTAGGAGACAACTCGTTGGAGCCGCTGTGCTCCGACCGCAAGCGTAAACTATCCACCTGTGACACACCAGGCTTAGGGTGAGTGCTGTAAATTCTGTTAAGCGCCGTTCATATATCAGTTCACTTTGGCTGCTGCTGTTGTCGGTGTGAATGTCAGCAAGTGCATCAGGTCACTTCCTTCCTCCCAGCCTCACGTAAACATCCCTACCTCCCTGGTGCAAGCGTGTGTGTGTGTTTGTGTGTGTTTGTGTGTGTTTGTGTGTGTTTGTGTGTTTGTGTGTTTGTGTGTGTTTGCGTGTGTGTTTGCGTGTGTGTGTGCGCGTGTGTGCTGTGAGCGAAGTAATTGAAGCATCAGAGCCGCGGCCGTATGGCCTGCATACGAACGGGGCATAGGGAGGTGAGGTTGCCATGGCAACATGTCTAATCCCCTTGGCGCCCCGGCAGGTGTGACAAGCGTCGGAGGGAACAGGAGAGCAAGTACATCGAGGAGCTGGCTGAGCTCATCTCTGCCAATCTCTCCAACATCGACAGCTTCAACGTCAAGCCTGACAAATGTGCCATCCTCAAGGAGACCGTGAGGCAGATCAGACAAATCAAAGAGCAAGGTACCACCACTGTACAAACTTCAACCACACACCCCCGGTCATGAGCAAAGCAGTATATGAAAACATAGAATTTGACCATAACTTGATTATTGTGTGATCACAAACACAAACATTTATTTTTTTTCGTCTGGACTAAACAGTGAATTTAAGTTGAATCATGTCCAGTACCCCGCTGCAGGACAGATGATGCCAGTGATGAAGTGGTGTGTTTGGTTCGTGGCCAGGCTGCTTCAGACTGACAGCCAGTTTGGCTGTTTGTATCACTGGGGGTAAATGAACACCAGTAATTGAGACCAGTCCTTGTTGGTCATGGCTCAAGGCTGTCAGTGACTGCGTGTATCAGTTAGTGCCAAACCAAGCTTCTCTCTGGGAGACTAACGACACTGGTGACTCAGAAATCAGACCTCAGTGTCGCTCCTATCCCTAGGCCATTTTCCAATCATTTTTTGCAGATTTGACATGATTAGATATGCAAAGGTAGATATTTTCTTCCAGCTTGGTTGAGATTAGATCTCTGAGGTTAAGAGAGAGAGAGACCCAGAGGGTCACAGCTGGCTACTGCTGGCCCCGGCGTTGTGCAGCCAGGTTGCCATAGTTACAGGATGGGAATCATGGAGGGCCTCTCCTTTTTTTTTCTTCTTTCTCTCTGTTGTCCATTTCACACACCTTTCCCTGTTTGCACATCTTTGCTTTTTGCATCAGTTTCTCAGGTGTCCATCATTTTTTTTCATTCACTTCTTTCTCTGTTCTGTTTGCCCATGAAGGCAGTTCAGTTTGAAATGGAGTGACGTGAATCCTGTGACGTCTTATTTGTCGTTTTGCTTAGTGTCTCGCACCGCAGATAACCCTGCTACATAGAGTGAGTGGTATCTAACAAAGCCTCAGACACATGCTGTTTTTAAATATAGAAAGGCATGCTAACCATGCATCCATGACTTGTGCTGCCACCTGGTGGCCAGAAGAAGTGTTTCAATACATTGTATAAATGAAGCTGCCAGCTGTGAATTGTAGAATTGTTGCCTTGAAAATATCACGAACATGATGAAAAATACAAAAAAATAACATCTATTCTGCTGTTGCAGAAAACATACAGGTCATGTGCACTCAAATCTCAAAATAATAGCTTTTTGTGTTGAGCCACACAATGGAAATATGCAAAGTACCTTGTAAAAATCCAGATGCATGGATCATTACTGTAAAATGATAATTCTCTTCATCAGTAGTCATGCTTTATCTGTCCTTAGGAAAAAGCTCTTGCAGTGATGATGATGTCCAGAAGGCGGATGTGTCCTCCACTGGTCAAGGGGTCATTGACAAGGACCATCTGGGACCGCTGCTCCTACAGGTCAGCTTGGGGACAAGCCCTGTGGGGCAAAAGACCAACACCAATTAGTTGCCCTTCCATATGCTGGACCAGTGGTTTGCTGTTATTGCTCACTTGAAGTTGGAAGAAATGTCTCAACTGGTTTATATGAAATGTAACAAGTCTTCCTCAATTCAACTCTCCTTTTTGTTGCCCTGCTGTTTTTAGGCCCTGGATGGTTTCCTGTTTGTGGTGAACCGAGAGGGCAGCATAGTATTTGTGTCAGACAATGTGACCCAGTACCTGCAGTACAAGCAGGAGGAGCTGATCAACACCAGTGTCTACAACATCATTCACGATGAGGACAGAGAGGAGTTTCACAAGAATCTACCCAAATCCAATGGTGAGACACGAGTTTATACATGTGTTTGCACAAACGCATTCAAGATCATACACACCTGAGATGATTGAACTCATCTGAATGCTCTTGTGCACATGTGCTCACACTCACACACACACACACACACACACACAGTCATGCCCATCTGTTAAGCAGTATCTGTTTTGTTTGTTTTTTCTTGCTAGCACCAAATGGGGCATCATGGGGTGGAGATGCGCCCCGGCAGAAGAGTCACACCTTCAACTGTCGTATGCTGGTGAACTTTGGTCATGGTCAGAGTCATGGGTTGTCAGAAGAGAGGCCTGGAGGCCAACGCTATGAGACCATGCAGTGTTTTGCCCTCACTCAGCCCCGGGCTATGATGGAGGAGGGAGAAGGTGAAAGTCATAATTAACAGCTTTGAATGTTTTTTTTTTTTTTTTGTTGTTGTTGTTTTTTTCTAGCACAAAAAATAGAAAATAAAAGAGAATATAACAATTAAATATGTGACAGCAGTGGACATATACTTACTTAACATTGTGTTGTCTCTTTCCTCAGATTTGCAGTCGTGTATGATCTGTGTGGCACGACGCATCACCGCAGTAGAGAGAACAGAGAGGTTTAGCACACGCCATGAACTGTCTGGTGAGCTACCATTGTGTTACGTGTAATAGATCCATGTACTTTCCCCAAGTGTATTCATTTTATTTACACGTGACATGACTGTTGGAAATGTTTTTGTTAGGCATACCACCTTACAAAGGCTTTAAGTCCAACTAGCTTCACCCCTTTAAAAAACAAACATTAGAATTAAAATTTCCCCACTGTTATCATCTTTACTTGTCCTGACATGATAATACGATCTCCAAGTTCTCCGTGTTATTCTAGATATTTAGAGATGTACGCCATAGATTCCTAGTACACTGACTTTGGACTATACACTGCATCTAAAGTTGTCGCCTTTTTCCGCTGTCAACACTAGCCATTATCCTTCGGCTAACCCGGGCTGTGCATCTTCTGTTCCAGGTAAACTGATTGAAATTGAACAGCACGCCTCTCTTCACACCACTATGCGTCCAGGCTGGGAGGACCTGGTGAGGCGCTGCATGCAGATGTTCCTCCATCGCAGCGAGGGACAACCCTGGTCCTACAAACGTCACTATCAAGATGGTATGTAAATGATGTACCTTCCTACCATCTAACCTTCTCTGTCACCATCATTTAAATCATTACAAACAAAAACCCTTAAAGCATCTGGTGCTACATTAGCAGGTGCATGCAATAGCAACTTAAATTTCCAGACTTGTTTTACATGTGAATGGACTACCTAGAATTAGAGCATAGTCACAGACATCGACATGGTCATGATCCATTATTATGGGCACCAGGAGGGCAGCTTTGAGCTTTGTTTAGAAGGCAGCAATCACCAGAGTACACAGGGAATGTACCAGGACACCAACCACCTCATGAAAACATTTGGTATGTGGGATATGGCCCTTTAGATGTGAGCAAGAGCCTCAAGACATTAATAAATAATCTTCATTACATCAGGAGACATTACCAGACAGAAAGAACACTTGACTTTATGGTGTTCAAGAATTGACTTCTTCGGAGTGAACTACATGTTTAATTAAAAATTAACACTTTGTCAGTGGATCCATTTTTAAAAGGGGGAATTATATAAGAAGCAGCTGGAATGAAAAGACGTGACACAAGCTTGTTGCAGTTATGACTTCAAACATATCAACAGGCTGAGCAACGGCTTTTTCTGTGCGCTTGCGTTGCATGAAAATAACAATCCTCTGTATTGTGACAGCATCGCAGCATGTGTAAATCAACTATATGGAAATTCAGCTTAAGTCCTGCTGCAAGCTGTGGCAGCTCCTCATTCTTTTAATGTTGTTAGTGTGCATGCTCTGTCTCATTATCATCTATTTATTGGATGATTGAATTATCCTTTTTTTTCCGCTCCAGCTTTCCATAATGGCCATGCGGAGACCCCACTGTACCGCTTCTCGCTCTCTGACGGCACCCCAGTCACAGCCCAGACCAGGAGCGATCTCTGCAGGAATCCCAACACCAATGAACCACACTCTTTCTTGTCCACACACTTGCTACAAAGGTGCAAATACTCTAAAAAGTAAATCTAGCTAGAGGGTGAATTCACCAAACATAGATGAATGTCTGTCTGCATTGTAGAGCCTAAACTTTGTTTTGTTTTTAATTATTGTTATTTTTCATACTCTCCTGTAGGGAGCAGAATGGATATCGTGGAAACCAGGGAGGAGGCATGAGGCCTCAAAACATGGGTGTGAACAACCCCAACCAACAGATGAACATGGGCCCAGGAGGGGGCATGGGCATGAACAGGGGCTACGGCATGGCTGAACAAGGCAACATGCCACAAAGAGGAATGCCTCCATATGCTGGGGGTAACCGCATGAATCCCATGAACCAGATGAATCAAATGAATCCCATGAATCAGATGAATCCTATGCATCAGATGAACAACATGGGTCACATGAATCAGATGAATCAAATGAATTCCATGCATCCAATGAACTCCCCCATGAACTCAATGAACCAGTTGGGGCCCATGAACCAGATGAATCAGATGAATCAGATGGGCCACCATGGCATGCATCAGCAGCAGCACCAGCATCAGCAGATGGGTCAGTTCCATGGAGGAGGAGGTGGACCTGGAGGTGGAGGGTACGGGATGGGAATGACCAGTCCCCCTCAGGCCAGTCCAGGAATTAACGGCCCCCCACACAATGTCATGGGTTCACCCAGAGTCAGAGGAAGCCCCAAGATGGGTGCCAGCCCCTTCTCTCCTGGAGGTACTAACCGAACTTTTTTTTTTTTAAAAACTTTGCAGGTTATTTAGATGTAGAAAAAAAACTCCTTAGACCAAAATTCAGCTGATTTGTTTCATTCATGAATTGTTCCCATGTCTCTTGTTTGTCCTTTTGCAGGTATGAACTCTCCCATGAGCTCCAGTCACCCTGGTAACTCGGGAGGTGGAGGAGGAGGTACCACCTTCTCCAGCAGCTCCTTGAATGCCCTCCAAGCCATTAGTGAGGGAGTAGGCAATCCGATGCCTTCCCCACTCACCTCTCCTCCCCCTCACAAACCTGACAGCTCCCCGAGTATCAACTCCACCAATCAGTCAGCAGGGGGACCATGTAAACCAGGCCTCCCAGCCTACTCTGACACCAAGAGCCCAGGCAGCTCACTAGGGGCTGGAGGAGAGCAGCAGTCGCAGCCACACCCTCACACCCCCACCAGTGAGGGCCCTCCTGACAAGCCAGACAGCCAGGCCAGCAGAGAGACGGGTCCGACCGGAGGAGAATCTAATCGACGGGTCCCTGACACCAAATGCCACAAGAAGCTTCTGCAGCTCCTCACCTCCCCTACAGATGAGCTGGTGCCACCTAATCACGCATCAAACTCTGGACCCAGCTCCACATCTGAGGCAAAAGATGGAACAGTGGGTGTCACCAGCCCCTCCTCCTCAACAGGAGTATCCTCCTCTACGGGCGGGAGTCACGGTGCTGTATCCTCCTCTGCTGGCACAGGACACTTAACAAGTCAGTCTCTGCAGGAGAAGCACAGGATCCTCCACAAGCTCCTCCAGAACGGGAACACTCCCGATGAGGTGGCGCGCATCACAGCTGAGGCCACTGGAAAGAGCAGCTTGGATTCAGATCCTGGACCTGCAGCCCCTGGAGGAGTTAGGGGATCCGAATCAAAACAGGAGCAGCACAGCCCCAAGAAGGAGAAGCCTCACGCCCTCCTTCACTACCTCCTCAATAAGGACGACTCTAAAGAAGGTGGTGATATCAAGCCAAAGCTGGAGGAGCTGGAGGGGAGAGGAGCTCAGGGGGCAGGGGTCACCAGCTCTGACACCCACTGTATGGATGGAAAGGTCAAGTTGGAGCCATCTGATGAGGCAAGTTTTTTTTGTTTTTTTTTCTCCAACAAGGAAAAACAAATTGTTATATGTAGTTAATAATACCCACTAGAACATGGTATTCTAATCTTTCTTGTGTCTCTGTGGTTCAGACGGAGACCCTGGAGACCATTCTCGGTGTCCCAAGGAACAACTCTGGGTTCTACCCTGAACCAGACTCCAGAGCAGGGAAGGAAGTTGCAAACAAACAAGGAAACATGCCTGACAATTTACATGGTAAGTCAGTGATTAAAATCTAAACTATCATCAAATGAAACACTGGACTGCAAAAATGTTTATGCGTTGTTAAGTATTGCATTAGGTATCACACCATGGACGTTCATGTAGCACCCGTTGTTTCGAATCTGAGAACCTAAATGTGTGAAGGTATTTACGCTCTCCTTGGTACTGTGTGTGTTTCAGATGGGGAGAAAGGCCCCATGCCTCCAGCTCAGCGTGGTGTCTATCAAAGAGCCTTGTCCATGGACGCCAAGCCCATGGGTGTAGAAGGAGCAGTAGGAGGTGGGCTGGCCATGAGAAGGAATGTCCCCTGTCCCACATTGGTCAAACAGGAGAACATGGATGCTCCGATCCGCCCTGGGGTCGTACCCAATGGCTTTCCTGGAGGCATGGGTCTCTGTCCACCAAGAGGCAATCCAACAAGTAATTTAAACACTTATTTCTTCGCATGCCCAAGACAGCCTGGCTTTCTATATACTGTAGACCTGGGTCCCACAGAATAGACAGCATAGGGATATTTGTTTTCTCAGTACTACTTACTTTAAATTTTTTAATTGAACTCCAGAAGCTTAGAGTCCAGTTTTCACTGTGTGGCTAAGTGTACTGATGAAATGCTCAATGTAAATGGTGTTTGTGTTTTTCAGGAGGTATGGGCAGAGGTATGGGAATGCCCCAGCGCCCTCCCATGGCAGGACCAGGGGAGTGGGGGATGACGAGGCCCAGTGGCAGCCCTGCGGCCGGACCAGGTCACCCAGGCATGGGTCGCTCTGGCCCAATGGGAGGACCCATGATCAACCGCTCCAATAGTGTACCTGCAAACACCAGGTCAATGCTGCAGCAGCAACTCATGGAGATGGGTATGTCACTTGCCTCTGCTTTTACCTACTTGGTGCCAAATATGATGAAGCAACGTAGATATGTGAATTAGACTCCTCTCTGAATGCATCTGCAGGTACCAATGAAGCCAATATGAGTATGAGCCCGTTTGGTGGACATGGACCACCACCTCAGTCGCCCTCCTGGCCAGACTCTGCCATAGGAATGGACAGACCACAGAGTAACACAAACAGGTACACAACCCTATCCCGCTTCATTTTTCCAACTTTCTATACCTCAAGCTGAATTCAGAAGTTGACATTAATCACAGTCTCCTTTCTTTGAAGCGACTAAACATCTGGGTCATTTGTTGGTTTAGGGAACAGTTTGCACACCCCCTGGATGAGCTGCTGGGACCCCTGGCCAACAGCGACGGCCCGAGTGATGAACGAGCACTTCTGGACCAGCTGGACTCTCTGCTCAACACTGCAGATGTCATTGCTCTACAGGAAATAGATCGAGCCCTAGGCATCCCTGAAATAGTGGGCCAGGTACAGGACACACTACAGTATAAATTATGTATCGCACTCATTTTGTTAACAGGAGATGATTACACATCACCAGTGTTGGCACTAGAGCCACAAATGAATGTCAGTGGTTCAGTAACTTCACTAATTCTAAATTACACAGTGATTATTGAACAAAGTGAGAGGTATAAAACAATATTATGACATAAAGTGCTTGTTGCTTTATCTATTTAAGTAAATACAAAGTCGGTGAAAAAAAAAAAAGTTCAGAAGCTGAGAGAGTGGTCTTACATCACAGCATACATTTATTTTAGTTCCTCTAATTAGATGTGATGTGAATTTGGGCTCATTGAAAGTCCTCAACTTGAATGTTAGCTTGCGCTAATGCTATTCAGCTTCCAGATTTTCAGTTTCTTGTTGCCTAATCTGTAAGCCTGATGTAGTACATGTGATTCTGATGCAGCTGTTTAATGTATATGTGTGTTTTATGTATGTTCTCTGGCAGCAGCTAAATCAGTTACCCTTAGCCAACCATGTGTTGATATTGCATTACGGTTGATGCAGTCCAAACTAGCATTACATGCAGCTTCTCTGTACCCTAGACCCAGGGACCTGAAGGTCACCAGCAGGGCCAGGATCAAGGTCAGGGTCAGTGCCCACCATCAGAGCCTTTCCCAGGGCCAGACTCCTCCATAGGCATGGACCAAAAACCCATGTATGGCCAGGGCTACCCTGGGCCCCCAGGGCCCCCCTCCATGGGCATGCAGGCCGGTTATGGCGGCAACACGATGCAAGGTCAGTCTCCGGGAGGCTTCAACCCCATGATGAATCAAATGGGCCAAACAGGAGGCTTCCCTGGCATGGTGGGTATGGGGGGCATGGGCAACCCCCGCGCAAACATGATGAGACCTCGCATGTTGGCCACCAAGCCTCTCCGACTGCAGCTACAGCAGAGACTGCAAGGGCAGCAGGTGAGCACAGTGACAAATTCAGATCATGTTTAACCTAAAGGTGACCTTAATATCGTTATATAGAAAACAGAGCAGGTCACCTTGTTTGTTTGGGGGAGTGGGTAGCTTTTTGACTTATGTTGATAATGAACATCAAAATAAACAAACTGTCATAATGAACTTTATCTTGTATCATCCGACAGTTTATGAACCAGACCCGACAAGGCATGAAGATGGAAAATGCCCCCGGAGGAAACCCTGCCATGCGTCCAGGCATGCAACCTGGCATGCAGCCGGGCATGCAGCCTGCAGCCATGGGTGGTCAGGTATGTAGTCAGCACTTCCTCACGTCTTATATAATGTGCATTCACTTGCCATTTTTAATAAAGCGAGTCATGTCACCATTTGACGAATTACGGTGAAATTATTAATGTTTCTCCGCAGCCTGGTTTCATAAACGCACAGATGATGGCTCAGCGCAGCAGGGAGATGATGACCATGCAGATGAGGAGGCAGCGGATGATGATGCTGATGCAACAGCAACAGCAGCAGGGGCAGGGGGCAGCTGGAGGCTTCAGTCCTCCTCCAAATGTCACTGCACCAGCAGGCATGGACAGCCCCATGGGAGGCCCCCCCTTGAACCAACCTGGACAGCAGGGCTTCAACTATGGAGGTAACTATGGTGAGTTGACTGAAACAGAGTTGGCTGACTGTATCGTTTCCTCCTGGATGGTCAAGTTTCACGCTCATGACTGTTCTTTTGTTGTTATTGTCGTTGAACTTGCAGGGATGAACCAGCAGGGGGACCCATCATTCATGGCTCCAGGCAGCAGCCCACCAGGAAACATGATGCAAGGACGAATGGGTGGCCCCCCTCAGACCGCAATGATGCCAGGGATGCAGGGAAACCCACAGGGAGGGCCCATGTACCCGTCTGGAGACATGAAGGGCTGGCCACAGGGCGGCATGCCACGCAACAAGTATGCAACAGCAGGCTTCTTTGAGCAGTAACTTATCACGAATTTAGCAAGATACCCATAAGAGTCTTGTCCATGTGTAATATTTCTTTAGGTTAAAGTGGTAAATGGCTGATGTCAAAACTTATTTTTCTGGTCTTCCAGCTCATACCCCCAGCAACAGTTCCCCCAGCAGGGCAACCAGGGCCAGTTTGGGCCCATGATGATGAACAACTCCATGGGTGGACCTGGGCCAGTCAGCGGGGCCGGTGCAGGACAGATGAGCCAAATGCCAGGACAGATGCAAGGACAGATGCAAGGCCAAATGGGCATGAACCCCATGGGAATGGGTAGAATGCCAATGGGACCTGATCAGGTAGTTAATTGTTTGACACATGGGAGTTTAGTGGCCTTACAAGAGACTCGGCTGAGGTTTTAAAACTCTGTAGAGAGATATAGACATTCCATTATAACCGGTAGAAAGGTTAACACGTCCAACCTTTTTTTCCTGTCTCTGCAGAAGTACTGTTGACGACCTGTGGCTGACAGCAGAATCTGGAGCCTTTCATCTGTGGCAGAGCAGCCTGGGCCAGGAGAAGAGCTGGACTTACACAAACACACACACAGTAATTCTCCAGCGTAAAATGTGACACAGGAGACTCGACGCATCGCACTGCTCATTGTGGAGGAAGTTGGCTACAAGGACGAGCATGCATCAGGTTTCATCACCAACTGAAGCCTCACATGCTGTAGCCGAACTCTATTTAGGTTATGCACAAACACAAAATACCTGTGTGTGTGTGTGTATGTGTATGTGTGTGCGCGTGTGTGTGCGCGCATGTTTGTGTGTGTTCACATGAATGACCCGGAGCTGTCGGGCAGTATTCAGCGTCACAGTAAGGCTGCAGAACGGGACTACGGTACAACTGGCTGTGGCTGCACTTTACCTGGAGGCTTCTGTGTGGAATAAAGATTGATGCAATATTTCTTCATCATTACAGCCTTATTAGAGATTCAATGCCTTCACAACAATGGGTTTCTTTCTTTTTTTTCTTTCTTATCCTTTGGATGCGCCTCATTCTTAAAGTCATTGGAAGCTATAAGCACAGTTTACTATGTTATGCAGATTGGAGCAATAACTCTTGCCTCTATGCTTTAGACTGTAACTGAGCATCATTACCCTGTTCTAAGCAAACAAATGGTACTGCAGTATTAGATGTCTCAAATGTCCTCTGTGAATATGAATTGTAAATATCCTACAAAATATATCAGACATGCTTTTTAAAGGCCCATTATTGCACAAAGTATGAGACCTGGTTGTATTTTTGTGTCCCATAGGTCAATACTGATTTGGTTGTTTTGCTTCTTTTTTTCTTTTTTTTTTTTTTTTTTTGCTGTTGCAAATATTGCAGGTGTGTTTTGGGTTTTCCTTCCTCTGTTTTGTCATTTTCTTAATGCTGTATTTTTAAATTTTCCCAGAAGTCGTGTATTTCATGTTTTAGAGAGGCACTTTTTACTTGTGACGAGGATCTGATGAGTTGAAGGTTTGAGCTTTCACACCGTCAGAGGTTTCATTAGAGGATGGTGACGGCGAATTCTGTCAGGACAGTCGATTACGTAAACTTGTTGTTTTGTTGCTGTGTGTGTGTGTGTGTGCGCGTCTGTGTGTGCGCGTCTGTGTGTGTGTGTACGTGTGTGTGTGTGGGTGTGTGTGTGTGTGTGTGTGTGTGTGCGCGCGCGCGTCTGCGCATGTGTGTGTGTGTGCGTCTGCGCGCGTGTGTGTGTGTGTGTGTGTGTGCGCGTGCGTGCGTGCGCGCGCAGTACAGTGAAGACGGGAAAACACCCTTCAGTTCACCAACAGGCCTGGTCCTAGCAGAGCTCTCTCCCTACCACCAGCTTTGTCTGTCGAGTGTATTTTATTCACAGCATCTTCTTTTGACTGTTATTCTCAACCCGCTGAATCTACCTTTTCAACATGCGCGATCCAAAGATATTTTTCCACATCTCTGTATAGTTTCTGAGGTTTCTGGTGTACATTTTTTATGATATGTGTTATATTATTCTGATGGTAAATGGGTACATATCATTGATCTGTAATAGCATATGATGGTTATGTACTGTAAGTGTATCAGCTATCAGTGCAGGGCAAAGAGGACTGGAAGGTCTCAGTCCCACAGCAGAAAGTTTTTACATCCAGAAAAAAACAAAGCATGTTTTGCTGTGAAAGAGAAATACCAATGGAATGAAATCCACTTGAAGACATATCAATTTCTCTTCTATTTTTCAGGAAACAACTTCATTTTATGTCCAGATTTTGTTACTTCAGGAAAATGGAACTTTGTAGAGTTTGAATGAAGTGCAAAAAGAGGCAAGAGATCATTTGGTTTGTTTTTGTTTTTCTTTGCGTGGAGGTAAGATAAGCTGTCATTTTACAGGATGTATATTACAGATTTTTTTCTTTTGATGTTGATATTGATGTAAATACAAATTTCTATTTAAACACTCTTGACTGTGATTCTCTAATTATATACTGACTGATTATGAGCAGTGATGCATGCATGTAATTTACTCAGTTCTCAGTCTGGTAACAGTTAATATCAGCCAGTATATATAGACGTAATAATCATTCCTGATCAAACAAAACAGATGAGCACTGCTGCAGCTTGTCAGGTTATGAAGGAATAATCCACTTCCATTTTTAGATCTAATATTCTTCTGTCAGAAGAAAATCTTTCAATATTACTCCTTGCTTAGTATTGGAGAAAGGCTTAGATACAATAGCTTCTTTCAGGTTATTGTAAGACCCACACAGTATGAGGCGCTAACATCTAAACAAGTGCACGCACAGACAGTGATGGAAGAACAATTCAGATCCTTTACTTCAGTAAAAATAGATTAAAGTATTGATCCAACTGTATATAACTACTTGTGAAGAGTTGTGATACAGTATTCTGAGGTATTTTAGTTAGCACACTGTAAAATTACAATTGTCCTGTCTTCTAAAATCTGTGCTAGTAGAAGTACAGATGTGTAATTAGCAGAATTTACTTAAATGATCAGAAGAAAAACTACTCATTCTTCCTTGTGACTCATGCATCATCATATATATCATTAGATGCTGATTATCATGTTGTAGCTTTTTGAAGTGGAGCTAGTTTTAACTACTTTATATACAGTTTGGTTGTTTAATCTATAGTTTCCCAAAGGTTGAGCCCATCTGAAGGGTCACAAAATAGGATCCTGAGGATCCCTGTACCCCACTTTGAGACCCACTGCCATAAAGAACCTGATGCCTGCCTGCATTCATTATGCAATTTACTGCCCACTTGTGGTGGCAGCAGGGTATTGACCCTGAAAGCTAGCTTGACTTGCAGCCCTTTTATATACAGTTTATGTTCCAGCCATTAAAGACCATTAGAGTTGGTAATGACTTGTACCGTTCTGAGATCAGTTATGATATTGCAGGCCTAATACACATGCGCAAGGGTCTGGAAACAAAACTTCCGCATTAAGCCTCAAGAAGAAGTAGCAGCAAGTAAACGATCAAATGACTGATTTATCATATCTGTGCAAGATCTGCAGTAAATTTGAGACAGAATATTGTCACAGAAAGAGCGCGGCTCCTTTCAGGAATAGATCAGTACGTGTTCAGTGTGTGTAAAGGGCTAGAGAGAGAGAGAGAGAGAGAGAGCGGTGATACTGGCGACTAGAGCAGAGGGCTAGTTAGTTAGCAGTTAGCAGTATAGCCGTGAACGTACAGTGCCATGTACTCCAGTATGTAAGAAAGTAAATGCTACGACTCCTCAAGACCCAAGTTCCCACGTCTCAGCTGTACTTCAACTACGAGCCAAGAAACGTTAACAATACTGAGACTGGAAAATACAAGATTCTGCAATGTGACTGGAGTGAGTCATTGTCAGTTAATGGTGAATATGTTGAAGATTACCATATAAGTGATATTTTTCCTTGATACTGTAAATTTGATGTGTTAACTGACAGTTCAGAAAATAATCCTAAAACTTCTTCAGCCAGGAAGGACAAGGTTAAGATGTCCAGACAGAGAGCAGCAAGATGCAGGAGAGAGATTTCAGCACAGGAAAAACAGGCGGCACAAAATCATGAGACAGAACAGCCCCTGAATTTAAGAGAGATTTGCTGCTGCTACTGTCATCAAAAGGTATGTTTTAGACTGGTCCATATGTATGGCATTGGTGTAGTGCAGCTAGTGTGTATGTAAAAGTCACTGCACACCACTGAATACAGTATAAATACCATACTGGAGCTTTAGTGGGAAATGTTTAGAAAAAAATGTGGTAGTGTGGTCACATTCTGTATGATTAGATTATTATTACTGAATTTTAATGCTGTATATGTAACAGTCTATCATATTCTTTAGATGGTCATGTTTTGTATGTAAAGTAATTCAGTTGTCACGAAAACATGATGGACTAGAAAGTGTAATATTTTCTCTGAGTATAAGTATGAAGCTAAAGTAAAGCTTAAGTAAAAGTGTTTGAATGATGACTGTTCATTTAATAACAAATGTTATTGCAGTAATGTAGTACAGTACCAAACACCAAACAGTATAAACTTTACCAGAGGGCGGCGCTGTTGTCTACTAATGTCTCCAGCACCTCCATCGCCTCACACAGCAGCTGATACACAAGCTTTTTACTCTGCGAGAGACTGCAGTTCATTCTATGGTCACCAGAGGGCGCTAACTTCATGCCTGACGGACTGGAGGTTTGACTCATGTTTATGGACAGGGATTACAATAATAACAATCATTTGGAATGAAACAAATATAAATTGGATTAAATGGTTATAGAGTGATAAAATAATGGTTATAAATACATTTTTTAGTCGAGAACAGCTTTATTGTGAAGACCAGCATAGCCTGGTCTTCATTTTCTCCACAGCTCAACCAGATTACGTAAGAGATTTGTATCTGCCTTATAGATAATTACAAGTGATTAAGAGTTCAAAGAAGAAAGACTATTATGATTTAGCAGTATGAAAGAAAACAGTGAGGAGTTTTTATATGTTAGACAGTTCTGTTTAAACACTTATTGACACTTCCCTAACGGCTCAAGCAGAGTAGGTTTCTAAAAAAAAAAGTCAAGTGTATATATTAATAGCAAACTTATAACATACGACTGTACTGTGGGAATCTCTACCCGAGAGCAACTCTCTCTCTCTCTCCCTCTCGGAGTGTTGGCGTGGTTCCCGGCCCATCTGCGGCCTGGCCCGTGGATTACTGTTTGTTAATGTTTCAATCAGCTGTGTGTTGAGGAATGTGGAGCTATTTAACCTGAACTTCCCCAGGTGTGCCGAGGCGCCGCTCAGTCTGGGCCCCGCCGCCCTCCCCTGCCCTTGGCACAAAGCTATCACACAAACACAATCACACACTGGCCACGCCGGGGCTGCAGCTGTGCGCATCGCACCGCAGGGAAATGGGAAAAACATTGCACCAGGGAGACAGAATAAATCTTATAACGAGTCGCCTCGCCAAAGCAATTTTAACCCCTGCAGTGCCGGCGAAACTAGAAAACTGTTGATTTACACCGTTACATATTGAAACACCACATTTAAATGGATGTTTTATGAAGTGAAACAAACTTTTATCTTATTTGTTTCATATTTTTCATTCCTAGTAAACCATCTTACATCATTTTATCTATCTGAATAAATGTGTTGAATACACGAAGAATCTTAAATCCTCTTGGGAAAAAAAAAGTAATGACGACGATTTTCTCTTAAACTTTAATTCAAACTCTGTGTTTATTTGCCAAGATCTGTCGACCTGACGATTTAAAGGGAGACTTCCTCTTGTAATGTGATACGTTAATGACCCATAGAGAGGCAAATTACCAATTTAACTGGCTGTGAGCCATTATGTTGACCACCAGCTTTGGTTTTATGTTACCTGAATGACTTAACAGCCCTTTCTTGGTGTAGCACTTTTTTTTTAGTGACGACCACTTTACACTCTCCTAGTACTCAGCTACAAGATAAGCTATTCAGATGTATAGGAAGGCCTGCGATTAATCACAATGGTAATAAGGCCATAACAGCCCATAATAACCACCCAAGTGTTGTCTTACAAGACTATATCCCAGCTGTGGTATATGTTAAGTAATCAGCAGTGAAACCTCCCAGCTATATGATGTGATACTACACTTTAACTCAGACTCCTTTTCTCCCTCTCCCTCCCCTCTCTCTTACACACACAAACACAGTGACACAGTGGAATTCTTGTTCAAAAATAATTGTCTTGTTTTAATAAAAACACCAATAAGGTACATTGTAAGAAAACAATATCTTCACATAATGAGGCATTGTAATATACAATACAGTTTGTCGCTCAGGAATCTGAGAAATTTACTTTTTTTCTTTTACAAAACGTTGAATTCTCTACATGGTTTACACAAGATACAAAGAGCGTGACAGAAACATTAGCTTTCTTTAGAAACTCTACAAGCAACAAGCGGCTGCTGGCTGCACTGAACTTGTCTTGGTCCTCCGGCTAACCCAGTCTCTATCTGGACACTACCGGTCTTCTTCTCTCAGGACCCTCTGATGAATCGAGAGTCGTGAGCGGCAGAGATCCTCGCCGCCGGAGGATGTCCACACAACGTTATTTTTCTAGCATTGGGAGTTTGAAACGTCCCTACACAGTTCAAGGTTTTTTATTGATGTGGTCGAGAAGTCACATCAGGTAGCCTTGTTCGTTCTTGGCGGTGCTCCCTGTGGGGTCATGGTGCGATGCTCCACGAGCTCTTAACGGCACATAATCCTGTCATCTGAGCATCCATTCTGCGGGAAAAGAGAAGAGAAGGGCGATTAGTTCATTTGCTCCGGGAGGATGCAAAGCAGTCACAAAGCAATCTGGTACGCCAAAGGAACTTTTACGCACGCATAATGAAATATCAAATACACGTTACAGGGGTGCACGCAACTCAGTGGCACAGTGAACTGCACTTTGAGAATATAGCAGTGAATATGAAGAGATATTTACCTCCACTGAGATGCTGGCGATCTCTGCGTTCAGGGTGGTCAGCGGTGTGCGGGGGACGTTGCCGGCGGAGTGCTGGCGGCTCTTCTCCGGCTCGTCCAGCTCGACCTGCAGGTCCCAGATGTAATCGATTACGTGCTGCAGGATCTCCACTTTGCTGGCCTTCTTGTTAGTGGGCAGGGTGGGCACGAGCTCCTTCAGCTTGCTGTAGCAGCTGTTCATGTCCTGCAGGAAGACGGTCATCTGCTCGTCCAGAAGCGGGATCTTGCACTTGGAGATGGTCAGACTCTGATCGGACAGGCAGCGCACCACGTCCTCTCCGCCGACTTTGCTCTTCAGGGCGCAGGTAGATCCGACAACCTTCATCTTGATTAGTGTATAAGGTGTAGTTTCCAAGGATGACGAGGAAAAAGAATTGTTCAGAAATAGTTGAGCAACGGCGTTTCTACTCCTCTTGGAGATGTGAGCAAGGGAATGTTGACAGTTTGCAACATCCACATGGGCAAACCTCCTCCGGTTTATAGCAGTGCAGGAGCAGGGGGCGTGTCCGAAAGCTCCTGTTTGAAGGCGGTGAGCCAATCACATTGCTACGTTTGTATTGATGGGTCGGTCCACAACCTCACTCTCAGCCAATGATTGCGCTCGCCTGGTTATCGGGATTTACAATCTGTTTGAGGGATGGCGTTACAAATGGAAACAAATGTGTGTCTTTTATTGGTAATATGTGGGAATCCAGCTGTCCATGGCTTGGGGACTCTGCAGGTGTAGATTGCCTGGGGACAGTCAAGGGGTGGTGAATGCCTGGGTATGTACTGTGAGAATGTGTGTGGGATGGGACAGGATGAATAGGATGAATGGCTAATGATAATTAGGCTACCACAGTGCCCCAGATTTGCCTCTCACAATTGTTGATGGCGCTGCAGATGTTGGCGACAATAGTACAGTAAAGTTAGACAACTGATCACATAGAGAGGCCAAACAATTCTGGGAAAAGATTCACTTTTTATTAACTTAAATTAGTTCAAGATGACGAGGTTTGTTATAGACCCTTTTTGTGAACTGCGTGGAATTCAGTTACAAAAGAGATTAGCAGCTTATTCAATTTATCAGACCATTAGTCTAATAACATTACCATCTGAGGGCAGACTGTTGATCGTTTTGGAAAACATGCTGCGCAGTCATTCCCACACCACTGCTCCCTGGACAAAATCTCTGCCTTCGAGCTCAGAGCTTTCTTTATGTTCTCAAACTGCATTTTTCTCGGAGCACAGACTCTTTTTCCTGCATCTGTGTGCTGAAGGAAGCCCAGTGTGAGCAGCAGCTTCACGGATTCCTTCACATGTTTCTGCAGTGTGTGCTCAGCCTTGTGTGCACACTCAGATCACATCGCCCTGTTCTGAATCTTCCCCCCAGATTGTCCAAACAAGCCCGAGCAGACTGGCAGGCGCCAGCGCGGTGACGTCACCCATTCATCCGAGCCTTGACGCCTGTCAGCCTGGCGCCGCTCGGGCGGTCTCCATGGAGACGTCAAACAAGAGAGCTCGCACTCTGAGCTCCTCCGCTCACCTGCGTGGCGCGCGGAGCCCTGAGAACAAACCGGCTCCGGAGCTTTGTCGTTCATTTATCACCTTAAAGCAGCGGGATGGGATTACCGCCCCGCGCACCTGCAGAGCAGACGCTGTCAGCCGGTTAACAGCGCTGAGGCGGGGGAGGAGGAAGGGTCAGCATTGTGCTGTTACCGCGTTTTAACACTAAATAATAACTGCTGCATTCCCACACACAGCCTGCTTTCACTACTGTATACCCCTGTGGTTAGCCTACTATAAAAAAAAATAAATAAATTCTGTTTCATGCATTTTATTTTTGCTGTATGACAGTTTATGTCAAATAGTAATAATAATATTTATTAATAATAAATTTAACTTGTAGCCTACAGATACATTTCGAAGTAATAATATAAATAAATAAATAAATAATCTAATAAGGAGTAAATACGTTTCCAAAAGACTGAAAAAGTATTTTTCCACAATATTGCAACAACAATAATAAGTTTCTTATTATAATATGATATCAACTATCATAATAGTGGAAGAAGTAAGTAGCCTATAAAAGTAACAACACTGATATACTCCATTACAATAACCTTAGAACTCCTGAATTCAAAAATCTATTGAAGTAAAAGTACTAAGTATTTCAGCTGTGACATAAATGTAGTGGAGCAACAAGTGCATCATTACCCCTTTGAAATACAATGAAATAAAGTTATAAAGCAGCATAACATAGAAATAATAAAGTAAAGTATGAGCAGCTGAAATTGTTCTTAAGCACAGTACTTAACTAAAGGTACTTAGTAACATTTCACCACTGTATAACATCACATGTTATGTTATGGTTATAATTGGTTTTACTGACCAGGATCTGGTCACTGCTTGTAGATGTTTTTTTTTTGTTTGTTTTTTTCAATTTTTTGGGAAATATAAAAAGAAGTTTTTTGGAACATGAATATGCTGGCATTTATACAGACTAACACAGTACACAGTTTTTCACATTGTCTTGAGGGAATAAAAACAGCTTTTTCTCTTCAGATTTGAATATAAATGCTATTTAAAGAACCACTGCTAATATCTGCACAGATGTTATACCAGCCCACAGATAACGTCAGCGTTGCTTTCTTGTAACAAAGTTAACTACCACCGGCACTGTTTCTTCTAGCTCTTGCAGTAGCCTGTAAAAACTTTTTAAAAAACTTTCTTTTTTTCCCTTTTCTTTTTTTGCCCTCTGTCCTAGGTCGCAGCTGACAGGGCGGAGGGAGGGCCGGGTGGGTAGAACAATGGGAGTGCGGTGCAGGGATTGTGGGAGAGAATCTAGGCTGGAGCCACAGTGTCTGGAGCGCCCCTCCACTCCCCTCATCCAGCTTTTGTTCAGCTGCAAAAGCTATCAGCACTTCCTACTGACACCAACAATAACTCCACACAGCTGGGCCCTTTTTAGCCTGTTTACAGCACATCAAGGCGAGGGGAGAGAGAAGACAGAGGGATGAGGCAGAGGAGGGGAAAGAAAAGTGAAACATATTAGCTCCTGATTTTAACTGACAGAATGGCAGTGCCCTCTCCCAGCTCCCCTTCCCTCCTTCATCGCTGACACACAATTAATTTCCCAGTGGACTCGTTATATGTGAGCCGATTATCACTCAGTATTTTATTTCTGCGACAGGCTACTGTTTCTGTCAGTGCTGTTGCAACATCCTGCACCCATCAAACAGCAGAGAGGCAACACTTGTCTTTTTTTTATTTTTTTTTAGGACATTGTGTATCTTGGCTATATTTGTGCCAGCACACAAACCATTTCCCAGTAGCGTTTTTTCAGGATAAACTTTTCCATTTGGTGGAGGGGAAACATATTAGCTAATACGCCCTCTTTATCGCTTCAGCAAATAGATCTACAAAAGCACACTACAGGAAGCCGCAAGGGGAAAAGTTGGTGCAGGAATTCATTCAGAGGAAATGGGACATTCCAGCAATGCTTTCACACTTTTGCTGCTGTTATTATTGCTGTGGGGACAATAAGTAATGCTCATACTACTTCCTGAAACATGAAAGTGACCAAGCAACAATGATGGTAGAGGAGAATAAATGGTTTCTTAGACAGAGGATTTTACTTCAGTATGATTATTGAGATACACTGTTGAAAAGAAACGGGGAGGAATTTGATAATGAGAGGAGAGCACCACATGCAAGTTTTCAACAATTTTTACTCACACACACACACAGACACACACACACATGCACGCACGCACGCACACACACACACACACACACACACACACACACACACACACACACACACACACACACACACACACACCATCTCCTCGCAGCTGTGGGATTAGTTTCCAGTTCCCAGTCAGGCTCTTCCTGTTTGCTTGATAATGATCACACCTGTGTGCAGGTGTGTGGAGAGGCTCATATGAGACTGGGAGGGGTGTGTGTGGTGTCAAATACAAAAAACTTCCACACCACAATGTCACATCTATCCTCGGCTGAGTGATGATTGATTTGTGACACTCAAGACTCATCAGTCACAGGTACAAGTGGAGGAAGTTTGTGAAGAATGTGAGAGTTTGTAACACAGTGTGTCACTGTTTCAGTGGGGGTGTGTTATGTATGTTTCCGCCTGGATTCCTGGTGTGCCTCGGCGTGGCCTGGCACCTCCCTGGGCAGCCCAGCCTCTGTAATGACTGAGGACCCGTGGTTGGGAGTCACTTCCTGTGGGAGTCCTGGTTCAGAGATGTGTCATCAGCAGTGCAGACCGACTGGAGCCTCGCCGCCTGTTGGGTGTTTTTCCTGTGTGCAGGCAGCAGACTGGGTGGGTGGACGGATGCCTCCCCCTGAGAGCCAGGAGCATGTTATAGGAACACTATCTCCATCTGATAGTTGGTGTGCGGCGAAGCCTCACAGAGGTCCTTGAAGCCACACAGGTGTCCTCTGCTCTGTGTCCTTGGCCCCTGGAGGACTCACAGGGACAGCTTGGTCTCTATTTTTTTCTCTCACTTGTGTACATGTGTATGTGTGTGTGCATTCACCGGACCCAAAGCTCACCCCTCCTTTACACCCCTGTGGCCATCTCCCTCCGCCTGGTTCCCACACACACTATCAAAGCCCTTTAATGGCTTCTAATTAGCTCCCCATCTGCTGGTGACAGCGCACTGGTGGCATGCTAAAGCACCCATTGAGAGCATAGGCATTGTGCTCTGGAATACTTTCCACTCCAGTGGCAATTGCCTGGTGAGAGAGCTTTAGTTGGGGGTGTGGGGGGTGCTGGGGTGGGGCTGGGTGAGAAGGAGGAGGGGGAGGAGGGGATGCTGGGTAGAGTTCTCTACGGTCAGGGGCTTGGGGGAGGGCAGGGGTGGAGGGATACACAATGGGAGACAGTGTTACGGCTTGTTGCAAATCTAATAACGCCCGAGTCCCTTTTCCGTCCGCTCATCACCCCCCAGCACCACCAGCAACTATTTCACCCCTCCTTCTACTTCTTTCACTTCAGCAACAGTTTGCCGCTGACACCACACAGCAGACGCTCGAGTGAGCTTACACCGACTTTGCGCAGAGGCTACGGTGAAACCGGCAACACAACCTGATGAGGTGCTCCATTGTCCTGAGGAGCCCCATGGCTATAGCTCCCCTCTTGAACAATAGCTGCACCTCTATAGAAACTGTAAATGTTGCCTAATGAGGCCTCTTCATTAGCAGAACCTGTCTATGTGTGAATGCTGCCTGTTTGTCAGATCCTATAAGGCCTTCTCCTTTCCAGGACTTCCAGCAGGGCCCAGGTCCACCAGTAGCAGAAGGGGAGACCAGCTGTTCCCAGCTGGTAGCCAGGAGATGCCTATGGGGGACAGGCCTGATTGCTGCTGGCCAGCTGCCCCCTGCTGTAGGAGGGAGATGGAGAACAAGCAAATGCTTCTGGGAAACCATCAGATCAGCTCCAGTAATATCCTTGTTCTATTTCCACAGATTGCAAATTTAGATAAATATATATATATATATATATATACTGTATACATGTTTTAATTAAGGCATTTAGCTGACTTAGAAAGGGACATTAAATCCTTAGTCATCATCAACACCTGACAGAAAAAAGGAAAAAGCTACAAATCTATCAGAGTATTTCTGTGAATTTGTCAAATAAGATAGAAGAGCAATAAAAATTAGAGTTGTATAAGAGCAGACACATATTGCGTATTTCTAACTACATATTTTACACATACTATACAAGAACATATGATGAAGTTCTAACAGGAAACTGAACTAATCTCATTCTGGTGTTTTTCAGATTCCATGGCAACTGAATGCACCACTTTGAAATGACAAGTAAGAGCCTATGTAAAGGCACGTATTTGTGTGTGTTTCTGTGTGTGTGTGTGTGTGTGTGTGTGTGTGTGTGTGTGTGTGTGTGAGAGACGAATGGTCTGTCACCTGACCTCTCTCTCCGTCCCACACACACACACATACACACACAAACCCCGCACATCCCCACAGCTGCACGGAGGCGTCCAGTCAGCACGGCCAGGGGACATGGGAGCCAAAGCCCAAAGATGGAGCATGGACAGTGGCAGCTGGGGAGCTGACAAAGCCCCATTCAGAGGGCCCAGGCCTGGGGACAATGGCTGGGCCAGGCTGAGCCCTCTCCTCCACTCTTCCACCCAAAGATTAATACTTCAGATGGGCTTCCCAGTGGCAGGCAGGGCTAAAAGGAGAGCCCTCCTGTTTGTCACTGGGCATTGTGCGAGTCGCCTGAGAACCAACCTCTTGGATGGGCTTGACAAATGAGAGCCGCCATTGACAGTGAACAGATTGGGCCTGCCACTTTTGTTTTGATTGTGGAGCGGGTATAATCAAGTTATTTGGGCCTTGGGGAGTTTTTGTTTCTCTCTCCTGATGCTCTTGACACTAAAGTCCCACCTTAACAGTCTATGCTGGCTCAGCTGTGATCTGAGCCTGCTCAAGTTTCCCTCCTTGTTTGTTGTTTCTATTTATCAAAGCTGTATAGAGGGTGCAACAGCAAGAGGAAGTTAATTTACTTGGGTGTGGGAATCTGGCTATCCATTCATGTGGTCTACAGAAGGCAGTGCAGGTGCAACAGGTGTAGGTGTGCATATTCTTGTCACAGTCAATAGAGCTACAGTGCAGCGTTATTGTAATGTTTTCTATGCAGATGTCCCTCGTACACCTGACCTCAATAACGTGTTAAAAGAAACAGCTCAGCCAGGGGACTACAGTAACTAGAGACCCTGTTAGGTAAGGGTGGGGTGGGGGCAAAACGCAGGCTAGGGTTACCCCTCCCCCTCCCCCCCCACACACACACACACACACACACCTCACCCCACCCCTACCCTTCACTCTGTAAGTGCAGCACAGGTGTTTAGCCCCCAGCAAGGCAGCATTTCTGGTTAAACTGTAGGAACGCTGCCCCGCCTTCACACTGGGAACTAGCAGTGGCCACAGAGTACACAGCGTCACACCTGCACACCTGCACTTCCAGTCAGTGTTTTGCTACTGTGATCACATCAGATGATTTCACAACAGGAATCATTCTTCCACAGAATCTCGTCAGAGAAGAAAGTACACATGCAGTCAGCATTTTTTTGTGCAAATGTCATTTTAAGCCCTGTAGCTGAATTAATCTGACTTAAAATTCACTTTCACTGTTTGACAACGCAACAAGCGAGGACTGAATCTTTGTTTTCATGTGCTGTGGCTACAGTAAGGGAGGCCTGGGACCATCTGCCCTGTCTGTCCCGGTGTTATTGCTTTGCATCGACCAGCTATTCTCACGATAAAGGAATGTGCCCTTCTTGTAAACATACATTGACCCCCCGCAAGTGCCACAAGCTTCATTCCCTTTCCCTGTTCCCTCCCATCCCTCCTCTCACGCCTGGGTGTCCCTTCATCCACCCCAGTCTCCATCACCGTCTCATCCACCCCCCCCCGAGTCCTTCTACTGCCAGTGTCTCAGTCCCCTCGGCTGCCTGCTGAAGATCCTCCTCTGGTTCCCACATAGAACTGAGACACACACAGCTAAGACAAGCGCCCTGCTTTTCATCCAGGGCCCTATTCCAGGAATACGCTTGTGTGAAACTTCGATGCAGCAGAAGGTGCCCTACTTTTAAACTTCATTCTTCTCCCTGGGATTGTTTCAGGGGGTTTAACAAAAGGGGAAATAGACTGTGTGCGGGTCAGCAGGGGTGTGTGTGTATGTGCATCTAGGTTATACTCGGGTGCATGTGTTCGCGTGCACGCCTGTGTTTATGCAACAGTGTGTATGTGTGTGTGTGCACGTGAGGGGAGGGCTGGAGGATTATAAAGAGGAAGTGAATGGGAAGTACACACTCAGTGACAAAATAAGAGGGAGACATTCCTTTGCTGCCCCTCCCCTCCTCCTCCCGGCTCCCTCTTTCTCTCCTCTCCCTCTGCTGTGGCAGGGCCCTGGGAAAATCAAACAGGTGGTTTGGGCCTGGCAGGAAAGCTGGCTGGGCCCGGGGTGGGCAGGCCTACAGGCTGCTGGGGGCTATCAAAAGCTCTTAGGCCCAGCTTTAGGCCAGCACTCTGAATGGCCCCGGGCTTCATTATCATGTGAATTCTGGGAACTGCCCCGGGCCCCCAGTAACACCAGTGAGCTGCCCATATGGCGTTCGCTTGGCAACTAGGGAGACCCGGCAACCCCACACCAACCCCCCAGCAACCCCACCACCCCCCCGTCCCTTCCAGTGCTTCTCCTCCATTCCAGCACTCCTGATATCAAAGGAGGACAAGGAGGAGAGGGAGGAGGAGAGGGAGGCAGAGGCCCAGAGCCCCCATCCCCAGCCCTCTCCTGGGGGGGCTGGACCACACAGAGCAGCGCTGGACAGTCCTTAGGGACCCTGGATAACACCGCTGCCCTGTAGGGCACTACAGCTAGCCTGGCTCTGGGTGGATTTAGCCATTGAATTAGCATTAAAGACACATTCTAAAGCTGTCAATTTAGCATCACAGATAAAGATGTCAGCAGCCTCTCCACTTCATGAGGGTTGCTCCTCATCAGCTGCCCTCCTCCTCCTCCTCCCATCGTCCCACTATTCACTGAGGAATTTAGAGGCTGAATTCCCTCTGATTGATCACTATTGAGGCCCAATCACCACAGGAAAAATTCCTAGCACACAGCACAGCAAAATTCATCTGTTGATCTTAGTGAAATGTGTGGTTGTAGAAGTCAGTCACAAAAGCTCTTCCAGTTTCTCTTTCCATTTTTGATTACTCACCCCTGGCATTTTGTTCCCAGTATTGCACATAATTTTATTCAATGTTAATTGGAGGGAGATATTTAAATCATAGTGTGACCAGGCCTGTAGTGAGCCGTAGCAACAAAAATAATCACAGTAAAATTCATACCATCTGCAGTGATATGTTGTAGGCGTACTGGTACAAGCAGCCCCCCATAAGCATTCCAGTTTCATTAGCAGTGACATGAAAAAAACCCAAAGAAATCCATCTGAAGTAAATAACCTTGTGAGTCATCTGATTTTCCTGGATGAGGATGAGGACACTTCTGCAGAGGAGATGTCACTTAACAGCAGTGCAGGAATGCTGCTCCGGCTGCTGCAGTTGGCCACCTGTGTTATAATGTAGTGGGGGTTAGAAGGAGGAGGAAGTGTGTGAGCGCTGTGTGTTATATGCGCCATATGATGTCATGCTGATGAAGAGACTTTGGATGGCTTCGGCATTGTTCATTGTGATTACTGATGTATGCGTATTCATGTGTGTGTGTGTGTGTATCTCTATATGTGAGTGCACCTGTGTGAGACTGGGGAGTGATCTTATATGGCACATGTGGATAATCTAGTCAGCTTACTTCACCACTTGCACCTGTGATAAGGAAGGCGCAGTATGGAAAACAGAAGAGAGCAAAACAAGGAGGGAGGGAGGAGTGAGTGAGAGGGAGAGAGAGGTAGAGAGAGAATTAGAGAGAGAGAGAGAGAGAGAGAGAGACGAAAGTGTGATCTGACTTCTGAGGAACTCTACTGGTGATTCATTCTGTTACACATGGAGCGATTCACTCCCTGTGCAGCTGTGCGGGCCACATGCGCAATATGATTTCACAACATCTTCCCTGTCCTTGGAAATTCCTTTTTTTCATGCAGCCCTCTCACCCCCTTCCCTCCTGTCAATGTGCTGGCGGTGTTATTCTGACAGAGAGGCAGGTGCACGACTTAGTCATTCTTCTCTTCCCCAAATTGCTCCGTGCTTCACTGAAGCTTTAGTCAGCTAGAAGGGCTTGACCAAGAAGCCCCGTCACAGTCATGTGTTTATCATACAGTAGGGTTCACAGTGCTGCTAGTGATGGTGTTGTTGTTATCACTCAGCTCACCACTGCTCCCGTAGGTGTCAACAGCCAGCTGGGAGCAGGACAGTGATGTCTCAGCCACAGAAACTCAAGTGACTCAGCATTTCTAGTTCTCAGTTGTTGTTCTTTGCCCTGGAGTGTTAGTTTATCTTTACAGTATCACCGTCTCTCTTTCTAGGATTCGATCTGCTCCATGTCCAGTCGTGACCCAGGGGAGCGTCTGTGGGATTCCACCCAGGATGACGTATGTGTGCTGGGGACGTGAATCATCCCGCAGCTGCCCCCCTTACCGGCTCCAGCTCCGCAGGAGCAATGCAGCCAACGTTCAAACTGCTCTGTTTAAAACAAACCCGAGCTCATAACAGTGAGGGAACTAAAGTCACTTCGAAGCCACAATGATGTTGTGTTCAATTATGTTCAATTATCCCGGAACATGATCGTTCCGGATAGATTAGGCTGCGCTCACGTGAGACATGGCATCTGCAAGGCTTGATTCTGTTGTCATTGCCTGACAATACACTTCAGTGCAGGAGCTAAGTGTCATAGACAGTAGATTGGATAAACAACTCTGCAGCTGAGACACCGGCTAAATTCAGGTTGAATAGGATTTTAATTCAAGAGGCTCATAATTTATTTTGCCAATGACATGCTTTAATACTTTGAATGCGATCAGGATGCAATAGGGATGTATCGGCAGTGACACTGACCTTATTACGCTGATCTGGTATCAACCGTGACATGACGTTTCCAAATTAAATACAGTGTCTTTGTCAATGTCATTATGTAATTCTGTATTTTCTGATATCAGTTACATCCATTTAGTCAAAGTTGGCCCACGGGTCAGTTCCCTGGACTCATGTTACCTTACATGAAAATGATTCCAGTGTGTTACATAGAAAAAGAGAGCATAAGGTATCGATCAGTGCTCGGTATGAGCAGATACCCCGAACTGAAGCATGAGAGTCAGTATCCGAAAATAAAAAAGTCAGATCTGTGCATCCCTAGAAGGCAATGTGTTCTTCAGCTTTCTCACAAGTCTTGAACATCAACTTAACAACAACATGGGAAGGTTTTCAGCCACTGCGTCTGTTTATGTTTAACAGAATGAACCCACCTGACACAAACACTGATGTCTGCCACAAGAGAGGCTGAATGGGTCCAAATGGGTTACAGAGCCGCATTTGTCCATATTCAGAAAAACAACATCTAAAGAACTAGAAGATAAATTGGTGTGGTGGATGACCAGTGTGACTGACTACATGGAACTTGATAATATTGACGATTGTTACCCTTACCTTATTATCCTTATAGAGACCCTTCATAGAGACAAATAACTAAACACTTTGAACATTAGTAAAATGTTCACTACCAATGTTGCAGGAAAAACAGGTTGTCGCAGCTGAAATTATAGAATGAAAAAGGAATATAACAAGTGCTGTATTTATTGATTTCAATCATAATTATAACAATTTTATTTAGACAAAGTTCTGAACTTTGACCTCTTTTTTAAAAATGCATCAATATCTGTATTGCTTTGGTGTCAGATCTCATAACAATGTCATATCTGTTCTCGCAATGAAAATGTTCACATGCTGCTCAGTCATTGTCATGAAATTACCTGCAACATAATTGGGTAAAATATAATTTGTTGCTGTAAAGTTCAAATCACATCTGGAGGTCAGCACACGTTGTCATGGTTACATCAATCAGGTGGAAAGTATCTTCAATAATGGATACCAGCCTTTAATGAATACAACATGTTTAATATAGATATAGAATTAAGAGCTATAGTCATTGTTTCATGAAGCATTTCAATTCCTAATCCCCCCTCTCCACCTACACACACACACACACACACACACACACACACACACACACACGCACACACACACACATCTCTTATCCCTCTTCGCGCCGAAAGAGCCAGCAGGCGAAACTGAAAGAAAAGAGAATGGGCCTTCGAATGGCGAGGAATGAGAGTTGAGTTGAGGAACAAGTGAGTGAGTTGGAGAATGAGAAAATGAGAGGGAGAGACAGCATGGATTCTTTTCTTTGGGGCCTTAAAGACATGTTTCCCTCAGATGTTGGCTCTTCTTCAGATGCTAATGGTTCACTCTTATTCCCAAGCTGGGCCTTAGCATAACAATGCAGTGGAAGTGAAAGAGCTAAACCTCTGCTTTCTTTAAGAAGCCAAAGCTGGGCTTTTCTTGTGCACTAATGCCCCTCTCTCTCTTTGTGTTCCCAGTGAAAGGCCTGTGGAACGCAAAGGCAAGGTGATCACAGAGTTTACTGAAAATGAGACTGAAACAACACACGGGCCTGGGCTAAAATTGCATTGGTGAAGTCATTGTAAGCCAGGAGAAATGACCAAATATAGAGCAGTGAGTTGGCTGGCCCTGAGCCAGAGTACTCACTCTCTTGAGTATGATGACAGCAGTCATTTTGAATATTATCAGCTTTTGCTTTTAAAGCTGTTCTGAATTATGTCTGCTTGGAGAACTCCAACCCAAATGTTATGACTGTGTGTCCTGTGCTGACTCCAACATGCCAGAGTCCCATCTGAGAAGCAGTTGTGAGCCTGAAGGGTTTTTGGATGAACTGCGGTCTGACCATGACCAGTCTTTAGTAGATACTGTTGTGAGGCCCCTGATAGCCGCTGATAGCAAACTGAGAGCATATGGTTTCCTGCTCTATCATTTATCAGGGAAGAATGAACAGGACCAGAGGTAAAGGACATGCAGGAGGACACGAAGATACTGTACAACTCACACCGGCTGAGCTGAGGCGCGATGACTTCAACTTATCTGTGTTTGTGCTCAGTCAAACTGTTCCTTCTTATTATACGTCATTTAATTTTCTGCCTTTCTGCTAAAGTGGTTCTTTCAAATTTGGAGCGTTCTCAAAGGGCACATTTGAGACGTGGTTTCGCGGCTGGCTGGCATTTTGCAGCTGCATGTTTATGACAGACGCACATGAAAATATTGTACACTGAAAATATATGTTACAATTTTAAAGAGGCAGTCTGCAGCTTTTAACTATTAATACCATAACAGAAATAAAAAAAATAAGAGTATTGATCTGATGCAGGGAGATCAAAGTGTCACATGAGAAAAATAGCTCAAAAGCAGATGCATGGTGTAGATAAGAGGAATGAACTTAAAACAAAGGTACTACATATACCATACATAAATAATACGTGTATATAGTGTTAGAAGAAGTTAGGGTGAAGAGTTAAGGTCCAGTTGCACAGTAAGTGATATGAGTTAAAAAGGTGCTACTGCTGTCAGTGACATGTGAACTCTAAGAAATCCAAATGAGGCTTCATCCGTTGTCCTTCAGACCTCACGATGACAATAGACGACTAAGTACCCCCCAATTACCAGGTTTTAACCCATTAACACCTCTGATGTTCTCCCTCTTCTCTCTCTGTGCCAGTATCTCTCCCTCACCCCCCCCCCCCCCCCCCCCTTTATGCACATAAGCAGTCGGCCCAGGTGCAACACAGAGGAAGTTAGCACCTCCTCACCACAGCTACTCACTCTATTTACATGCAAAACGATGGGCTTAGTCAGAGAATGTGTGAACACAGGTGTGTGTGTGAGTGGGACGTGGTGGGGATGTTGTCACGGGAGCCACTAATCTGTTTGTCCTGACGTGCTCTGTGTTTGCTCAGAAACTGTTGAATCGCGGTGTTGTGTAATTAGATGTTTTGTGGAAACACATTTCAGATTTCTATTGTAAGAGACTGCAGAAGGAGAAGAGCAGCTGAAAATATGCCTCACACAAACACAAGCCTGCATTTACTTGTGCTGAATCGAGCTTTTTGTGCTCTCTCATTTGTGTGTGTATGTGTGTGTAGGTTGAGAGGAAGTCAGTGGTGGCACCCAATGTCATTTGAAGCGGAGCGCCTGGCGCCACAGCATCAGCATCATCACTCACTGGTGCCAGGCTCATTTTTATAAGCACTCACTAAATGACACACAGCTGGCGGCATGGAGACAGCTGTCACTGCCGTCACTACGCCCTAATCTGTCTCTCCCTCTCTCTATGTGTCTTTCCCTCTCTTTTCCTCCTCTCTCACACTCTGGTGTTCAGCTGGAGTTGCCTCCCTTCCTCCTCCCTCCTCCCTCCCTTCAGGATCCAGACTTTGTGGAGCCGAAGCTGCAAAAACTCACTTCCTGGAGCTGGTGTTCACTTCCTTTTCTTTTTGTGGGACTTCCTGTGCTGCCTCTGTGATCAGACCGGTCAGAGCTGACTCTCTGGGAGAGACTTCCTGATGCACAGACAGCTGGGGAGATAATTCTCTCTTTCTGCCTTTGTCAGGATTTTTTTTTTCTATCTCTCTTTCTGTGTCTCCAGAGGTCTTCTTTTCCCCCTGTACTGTTTTTCCATTTACTCTGCTAAGCCGCAGGTTTATTTTGATACGATGCAAAGCGAATCTGATCCCCCAGAGACAGATCATCTTCTGAGAGGGCAGACCTATGAAACACACAGGAAAATGAGCCTAACAGATATCATACATCCTAATGATATCAGACCAAGGCACAAAGCTCAGTTCATACCTGCTGATCTGGAGAGAATATCTCGCAATATCGCACCAGGCTGTCCCATCCATTAGTACTGATGTTCACCTCATCCAGCACCTCGCCCTCCCCTCTGGCTGTGAGTGGAGGAATGTAGTGGGTGTGGGTGTGTGGGCCCTGGTAGCGAGCAGAGACTGGCTCTAGTCGGTACGCCAAGCCCAAGAGCAGGCTCCTGTGATGGGGCAGGCAGGACAGAGCACAGACAGCTTGTAAGAGGGAGGCCTCAGTGGGTGAGTAAACACAGGCCTACAGAGAGAAACAGAGAGCGATAGAGGGAAAAGGCGCATAAGGAGCGAGAGTGTAGGAGGTGTAGGAGAAAATATAGTTTGATTTCAGACGCCTCTCTGTCTGATCTGTTGGTGTATCACATCCTGCAACACATCACCCATCATCCCTGAATGTTATTTTATCACTGTGCAATACTGTAACAGTTTTTATCTCACAAATGTGTCACAAAAAAAAAAAAAAAAAAATGAAACTCCTGGCAAAAGCATCCACTACTCTTTCCACCACTTCCTCTCCTTATGTCCATCTGGCCACCTGGGCCGCTGGTGGCAGGCCCAGGGTCAGGCCAGAGGAGAGAGGGCAGCAGGGAGCAGGACTAGCCTGGGGATGGAGCTAAAGGATCCTGGGGTGCTAGGTGACATGGCCTAAGGAGCCAGTATGCCACCTCGACGTCCCCCCGCACAGAGGCCAAACTGTGAGAGGCTCCTTTGAACCGAAGGGATGTGGCTCACACATGGGCTCCTTCCAGACAGAACACGGTGTGTGTCAGGAGGCTCTGTGCTTTGTGCAACGGACAAATGGGTTTAGTGTGTTGCTCCTCTGTTTGCACGGCTGCTCTCATATGTTTGAGGTTCTCTGAGGGGAATGACCTGGCGGGGGCAATAAATAGTTGGACTGGATAACTAGTGTTGTTTCACCTTACCACTCTAGTCTATATTCAGACAAGCCCAAGGGATACCTATTGAAGTGTACGGGTGCTTAAGGTTTATATCACCTCTGTTAACATCTACACAGATTGTATCAAGGTGTCCAGAATCTGAACTATGCAAACAGCTAAAAACAGACAAGTGATACAAGTGAAGGAACCTTGGAGAGATAACAGTATCTTGTAGCAACCTCTGGCAGTTTCACTTTCCTTACACAACCAAAATAACAGCAGCAGTGATACAATCTCATTCACAATCCATCATAATTAAAGCAATGTAGTTTTTGGGACTCATTCTCTGGGATGGGGGTTTTTGGAGGGAGGGAGGACGAGGCCAGAGCTCTGGGCATGTTCCGACGGAATCCCCCATCACTGCCGTGCTCTGGCCCCGGTCCGCCTGGCTCGGACTGGCTGGCTGTTCCCTGGAGTGCTGAGTGACAGGAGTACACGGCGGCCTCTCCACACGTCCCCCACTTCCTGAGCTACTGCTGGGCTCGGCAGCCTTTGGGAGCTCCACATGGCAGCAGGCTAAGTACACACACAGGAAGAGGTGACATCTGAAACAGCAAATGCTGCAATGGTTTGTTTGTCATCTCTTCGAACTGGTGAAAGTTTTGAGTGTGTCCATTGTATCCCAGGGCCCTCTCCTCACACTGAGGCACATGGCAATGTCCAGCAGTCAAATTCAACATGAATACT